ACTAGAATATAAATTTTACAAAGGCAGTAACAGAAATGTGTAGCCCAGAACAGTGGCTGGCACACAGTATGTAATTAGTACACATATGTTGGATGTAGCAAAAGAAACAATGGAAGAAAAATGAAACTGTGACTTGCACGTAACAAGAGAGATGGAAACAGAAGCATAAAAGTAGCCATGCTGCAGCTTATGGTTTTGTAGTTCAACAGGCTAGGTAGAGGAGAGGTGCTCACAAGTTTCTAGACAAGCCACAGCATTTTTCTGCTTTGCTTATTTGATCTATAAAATGTCTCTTCCTTCAAGCAGGATACTATGTGACATTATTAAGAGGAAAAAAGGAGGAAGAACAAAGACCTAGTTTGGGATGCAGTCTTTTTTGATAATGTACAAGTGCTGCTGAATAGAAACACCTAAGAATCAGCCAAGATCTGCATGAAGGACATGCAAGAAAACCAAGCATGAGGAGAGAAGAGAACAAAAGCTTAAATCAAGCTGGGAGCCAGGGCACAGTCATGGAATCCAATCTACACTCGAGGCTGAGGTAGGAGGGTCACAAGTTTAAGGCCAACCCTGGCAAATCAGTGCCATGTTGTTTCAAAATAAAAATTTAAGCAACGCTGGGTACCTGGGGATACAGCTTTGTGCAAAAGGCCTTGGATTCAATCTCCAGCACTTCAAGAAGCAGAAAAGTTTAAATCAAGAAACTGGTATACTTGATATACCTTTTAATGGCTAAAGATATATTTTGTATGCATGTTTGTAAGATGCATAAGTACCATTCAGTATTAAAATAAATAGAGTTACATGTGAAAAGGCACACAAAGGTACTTTGGTGTCATAATATTGATATATTAAGTCAGAATGGCATCATTTAAACAACAAGAAAAATTTGAAGTCTAATTGGGAAGCTGAGCTGGGAGAAGATGAGGCTTATGTGGACATCACTATGGAACAAGGGCAAGAAGCAAAGCAGGGTGGGTAGGGAAGAAATCAGCAAGGCACAGAGCCAGCTGCTGCAAGTCAGGGAAATTCTCAGTCCAGGCAACCCACACTGCACATTGTGGTGAAAAGAAGCTGAATGATGCACAGATGATCAGGTACAGAAAGGAAGAGACCCCCACGATGGAAACCGAATAAGAGCCACAAAAGAAAGCGAGAAGAAAAGCCAGTGTGGGTGATGTGAACTCCACACACTTGACCAGTGGTTCCTTTTAAAGTGCTTGCCTCATTATCAGCCAGTGTCCAGCTTTAAGGATTCGTCTCTATTTTCTATGATTTTCCATCTCTTTATATCAGATTTCTTAAACTTTTCAGTTCAGTGAATTGCAGTAAAAGTTTCATTAGCCATTTCAATTATTTGAAATGGCCCAAATTAGGGGATATTCAGTTCCTTCCTGTTTTTAATATTATATGCTTTAAATACGTATGGGTAAAATATTACAGACGAAGTTATTTGAAGAACCTCTGAGATACCTGCAAGCACAGCCATGAGAAGCCTAGTGAAGGAGCCACTGGTACTACAGGGAGAGCTACTTTGCAACCCAAGAGAAGACCTCGTTTGGCGCATTCATCACGTTGATCTTCTGCAGATGGTAGCGATTCATATTGTCACTGTGGTAACAATGGTTTGCTATGCAAGCCAACAAAAAGCTTTCAAGACAAAGCAAAACCCATTTAGCCTGAATGAAAATACCATGTATTCTTGTATCCAAGTGCCTGTAGTCAAGCAGGCATTTTCACCCAGAAAACATTTTCTTTCAAGATGATACCATAGTTTCCTGGCAAGAGTCAATTAATACACTTCTTTTATGATGATTTTAAGTTTGCAAACTCCCCAAAGTCAGCCTTTTCCAAACAAATAGAGGATGCAAATGCTACCGTCCATGCTGAGAATGCAAGTTCATGGCACAGGCTGGGGATATAGCTCAGTGGCAGAGTATTTCTTGCCCAGGACATGCAAAGCTCTGGGTCTGATCCCCAGTATCCCACGAAGGAGGAAAAGAAAAACTCCCAAAACCAAATTGATGGTTCAAATAGTATAGAGTTCAATGAAAACCAAAAACTTCATTCATATCAGAGCAATGAAATCATTGTGGGGCTGGGAAACCATTAACTATACATAGAAAAAATTCAGAATATATATTCATTCCAGCTTCAGATTTTGTGATAACTCTAAGTGTGCACAAGTTTATATGGTAAAACCATGAAATTATATTATCCAGAAAATACCCATTTTAGAAAAAAATAAACATAGCCACTGTATCTACAGGCAATTTAGAATGCTGTAGCTTGCCATTTGTTATAATAAAGACAAAGGATGATATAATTTGACAAGAGTCATTGAAGATGAGAGCAATTCTAGTATTTCTGTAAAAAGAAAAAAAAAATCCTACGAGAGGAGGTAGATTGGCTTGGGGACTAAGCGCAGACACAATGACTGAGACTGTTGCTTCCCTATTCTCAGGCTCCAGCATAACGAGGAATCAATTAGCCCTCCACCGCCTATGACCTTGAAGGATGCAGCTCTATGCATAATATGCTGGATATGCTGAGGCAGAAGGAAAATGTAAATGGGAGGATAATGTCCTGCGACCACTGCAGAGCATCCTTCAGCTATGATAATGCCCTATGAAAACAGTTCTCATGACAGCTTACTCTATGTCAAAGACATGCACGATGAAAAGAAAGTCCCAGTGCTCTCCCCAACTAAACAATACTTTCACATTTGCAAAGAGTACAAGAGATTGCCACAAGATAATCTCATTGCAAGCATCTTCTCTTTTCCCATTCCCTTTATCTAATAGTTATAACCTTTGAAACAACAGAAACAACCAATCACAAGGCTTTAAAAACAGAACTGCCTGTACACCTACCAAAAACAAAAATGAAAATAAAAAAATTTTACTTGCAATTTTAGAATTACTTTAGGACCTACTCCAAGAAATTAACAGTTTTCCCACACAGGAAACTATGTGGGGCTTCAAAATGTTAGCCATGTGTGCCCCTAACTTTTCAGAGAAACCTACTTTCCAGCCTGCTTCTCTCCGTCGCACTTCAGAGCGCTGCAGCTGTGCGTCAGCCACTGTGATGCTTTTAGGCAGCAGTAAATCTTTTCCACTTATTGAAAATGCCACAAAAATCAATGTCCTGGCTTAGAAAAAAAGAAAGGAGGGAAAAAAACAAGTATAAAATGTATACTCTATTAAAACACTTAGTAGAAGAATTTTTCCTAAAAATAATTTCTCAAAACTTGACGAGTACCTCCTGAGAAAGTCCTAGCTCAGGAAAATGTGCTGCATGTCTCTTTGTTTGATTCCATCAGATGGCAAACATAAGAGAATTAACTTGAAGAGGTTTTTTATTATTTTTTAAAGTAGTCATCTTTCTTTTGCTGGGTAACTCAACCTACTCTGGGCATATTTTCATTAAAGATTTAAGTTTAAAATGATGAAGAAGTAACCTTGTCTTCATGGTGAATTCTGCTTGTCTTTGCAGGATCTGCACTTGCTTTTTATAGCTTGTCATTTCATCTGGGTATTACTTCCCGGTCATTCTGCCAGGTGGGAAGAGGCAGCGAATGCAGTGATGTCTGTCATGTCTTTAATGATGCTTTGGGGATTAGATAAAGGTACGGAGCAGTGCCTGCATAGAGGAGCTTTTTCTAATTACACTTGGAAAACACAAACCTCTTTTATAACCTTTGCCCCTGAAGCCGGTGCATGTGAAAAGATGATGAATCATAGACATGAATCAAATGTTGCTGTGTTTCCAACCACAGTGGCTACTCTGTACTTACTACGGCGAGAAAGTATTCTTTATTCCACATCAAGGTCTATGGGGAAAATGGAAGCAGTATTTCATTGCAGGGGCTCTGCCTTTAACTCCTTTACCTCTAAGAGAGTTCACACATGTTATGAAGCACAACATTCTATGATCTTTCTCACTTTTTTAGCTTTTATCAATGATAAAAAGTGATGGGCGATACAACAAAAACAACCTAAAAGCCATTTTTAAAGAAACCTATCACAACTCTTATATACTGAGGGAACAATATAGCATATGTGTGGTTGCATCCTCATTAACTTTCCACTGTAAAGCGATTGGGATGACCCGATGCAGATGGCAATGCATTGTTCGCTGCTGTTTTAAGAGTGCGGAGGCAGTTCACTTATAGGTTATTAAACCGGGCTGCTGCAGCCTGACCCTATAGAATGACAGGTCCCAAGAAAATAAAGATATAACTTACCAACTGACCTTGTACATTTCAGTGATTGCTGAGGCTGCTATTTGAACACTCCATTGCAAAAGACAAAACTAATTTGGGGACATTTCTTCATGCAGAATTGTAATATGCTTTAAACTAAATAAACTGCTCATAACAAGTGTCTAGTCACTGAAAGTACAACCTGTGCAGGCCAGGAATAGTTTCAAGCTAGCGAGAGAGGTGAGCACTGGGAAGGTCTTCATCCTTGCCGCACTATTAGGAAGAAACACTGAATATACAAAGGTGGGGAGAAGTGGGGGAGAGCAAAGAGAGGCAGGCATCATGGGCTGCTGGGAGGCAGAGGGCAGCCAAAACGCTATAGAAAGTCTCAGATCAGAAAAAGGCAGACAGCAAATAAGACCCATTGGCATGTGGATATCATACTCCTCTAATAAATAAGAGATGGCACAGTGTTTTAATTTCTAAATGAAATTTTAGAGATGAATTGCACTTAAACTCAAGCATGACTTGCAGATGCTGAAGTTTTGGATCCCCAACCCCTGACTTAACAATCTAGCTAGAGGGAGCTGCTCTTCGAAGCTTCAAAGGAGTAGTTTACAGGATTTCTTTTTTACTGGTCTCTTCAGTGCTGCCCCAAGCATCTCAGTCACATGATTTACTCAAATAAAACCATGTAATTACAATGCAGGAAACAAAGCAGCTCCACAACCTAGAGAACACCTCTGGGGAGCTGGAGCCCACACTGGTTTATTCAGCATCATCCTTCTCTACTTACAAAGTTTAGGAGCAGTTTGGAGATTAGTTTCTGTTGTTTGTGGCTGAGTTGCTGACTTGGGTGTTCTCACCTCAGGGTTCCGAGTGGGTGATGGGAAGAATGGCGTGGTGGACGGCAGGAGAGAAAAAGCAAAAATACGATTCTTCTTCGGGGTTGGTGCAGCTGCAGGTTCAGAGGACACAGCAGCATTGTCAACTTGCACTGTAACTTGAACCTCAGTTTCAGACTGAGCCCTAGAGACAGGTGAAGTGTAAGCCTCAGACGATACCCACACAGCTGAGGCAGCAGTTGGATCCAAAGAAATAATAGGGTCCTGGCCTAAGCCCCCAGGGTCAAGGTGAGTAGGAGAGTCGTACTCAAATATCTTGTCCACAAATACCCACTTGAGGCCAGCAATGCAGAGGCAGAGGCTGACCAGGCAGGCCAGAATGGGGACGATGCAGATTTTCTCTGAGTTGAGGCAACCTCTCAGGCGCTCTGCCTCCAGGTACACACAGCAGGGCACAGCCAGGCCTACGAGTCCAGGGGGGTTCCCATCTTCAGTCTGGGTCTCTGGCATGTCTTCAGCTGCCGGAAGTCCATCAAGAGATGGGTCTGCACTCAGTTGAGTGGAGGGGCTGGAGGACCTCTCGGCAGCTCCCTCAGACATGTCTGGGGAATAAATCTCCATGGGCTCACCTCCAGAAGGCCTGGCCTCTCTCATGGTCCATTACCATGCAGGCCCCCCCCAAGCAAATGATACAGCATCTTCCAGAGGGAAATCGATAAGTCCTCCAAGTCCAAGGCCATTATCAAAAGCAAGGAGTTCACAAGGAAGGAAGAAAGAAAACAAGAAAAAGGGAAAAAAAAAACACCTATCAAGTACAAAGTAAAGTATATTCTAATAATTCTTTAGCTGTTGTTTTTTGGGCCACTTTTCTAGTTCTTTTAAAGGCTTCTCCAAACCATCCCGACAAATCAGTCAAGAGGACAAGCCCCAAAACAGAAAACAGAGGGAATGCCGGCTAATTAGGTAAACCAGTAGCCCAAACTAAAAGGCACGGCTCTCACCTCAAGCATCAGAAGCTGGTGCCTGCTGAGATGAAGAAAACAACTGTCATGCAGGAGAAGTAAAAGCAAAAGCAGGACCAGTGGCGGCGGCGGCGGGAGCAGCGGCGGCGGCAGGAGAGGTAGCAGTGCCAGGAGCAACAGCATCCTGTTGTGTTAACGCGGCTGAAAGAGGCTGAATCATTACAGAGCAGCAGGTGCCTGCCCTCTGAGCATCTCCGCAAATAGTCTCATCGCTGGGCGGGCGGGCGCTGTGCGGGGAAGCGCACGGCGGGAGGGGCGGCGACTCCTTCCCCGCCCTGCTCCACCCCACCCCCAACCACTCCTCTTTGTCCTTCTGGAGCGCTCCAGTCACTTTCTTCCTCTGCTGTCTTCCTTCTTCACAGTCTCTTTCTCTTTCCACCCCTGCCTCATCCTGCGTCTGTCTGCTTCTCTCTCTCTTGCTCCCTCCTTCTCTCCCCACCTTGCTTCCCTCCCCCCCCACTCTAAACTGCTACCGGTCTGAGTAAGATCAGTACTCTGCACCCAGCCACGCAGGACTGCCAGTGACTTCCTACTTTATCCAATTAGAAAGAATAAAGGCCACAAATCAAAGAGAGGCAGGCGGGCACCAGTTAAGCTTGATTCCCAGGGCCCCTACCCTTTTCTCCTTTTCTTTCTCCATGGAGTCAGCCCCAGTCCTACACCTCCCACACCTCTAATCTTGCTTGCTTTCAGTCTTGCTGGCTCTCTTTCCTTCACCCACTGCCGGGTCAGAAAAGCCAGCGATCGATGCTAGCAATCTAACAAAGCTGGGATGGGGCGGGGGATGTAGGTGGGACCTTCTGGGTTGGACCTGAGGCTTGGCAAAGTCTGATATCTGATGCCTCCCTAGAGAGGTAAGCTTTGCAACAGCAATTCCTTCCTGCCTGCTGCTGGGAGATAGCGTTCCTTCCCTCATCCTCTAATAAGTTTTGTTCACCAACAGGACTGCTATTACCTGATTTTTCAACCAACAGTTAGAACATTGTTTCTAACCATGGACAGCTCTACCTTTAGCCCTTTCTGTAACACTGTGTGAGACTCCCATAGGCCTTAGGCCGGGAGTGACTTGCAGAGAGTGGGGGAAGGGGGGAAGGGAGGAAAGGGGGGCCAAGCCCCCTTTCTTTAAATCTCCATGTCTTGTCCCACTAGAGCAGACTAGACTAATGTCAAGCTAACAAGAAACACTGTAAGTAACAGAGCTATGAAGGAGCTACTACTTTTTTATTTTTAAATTAGCCTTTCATTGTGACTGCAGAGACTTGAATTTCCTGGATGCTGTAATAGATACCATGTCTCAGCTATAACCACACTAAAATATTAGGAGTTTTCCATAAGAGCGTGTCTTTTGAATTAAGCTTCAGGAGCTATACCTTAGAGACGATTTCAGTGCCGAATTCTTTTTTCTTCTAAGGCAGCACTCATTACAGACCAAGAGAAGCACGCCGCCCGTAACAGAGAGCACAGATTCCTCAGAACATCCTGTCTGGTGCATGTCGGTGCATGCTGTATGCAAGTGAGCCTTTAATCCACACTTCACTTTAACTGGACATCCAAATGGTTTCAAAGGAGCCATTCTGTTCACCTCTGTCAATAAGAGTCTTTAAAACTCTCTAAATCTGTAATATATATATATATATATATATATATATATATCATATGAGTCCCTGAAGCTCTGAAATTCAGAGCTCAAGTCTGAAGAAAACCTGCTTTAACATTTTATTTCCTATAGCCCAACTTCCACTGTTTTGAAACATACTTCTGCTTCAAATGCTAGGACCTAAGAATATCATTGCCTCCAAGATGAAATTACCCTATAATTACAAATGACTTAGAGGTATTAAAATCTTAAACTGTGTATTCAGTCCTATTGCTAATACCAACAAAAGCCTGAACTAATTTACATGGCTGTTACCACAACCGTAGAAAGCTTATGGCCAAAATAGTTATCCTTGACTTCATCTTTACATAACCTGCATAAATACCAGTAACCAATATTTTAGCATAATTTTTCTGTGTAATTTTAAGTTTTACTTATTTATGAATTTAAAGCAATGAAAGGTGTCCTAGTTTTCCATTCTGGACATGAAATTTCACAGCACAAAATTTCTATGGGAGCATATATTTCTTAGGATCTTAATTATTGGCTGAGGCGATAACTCAGTTGAATAACTGCTTCCCTGGCAAGCGCAAGGGCCTGAGTTCAATCCCCAGCTCCACAAAAAAGATCTTAATTATCAGTATGTACATATTAAAATGGTTTAAACAAGTAGAGGTAGATGTTTCTTTTTTACTTATTTGTGTATTTTTTGATACAGGGTCTCACTATGCAATTCTGAATGCACTGCTGGGGATCAAACTTGGGACCTTGCACTTGCCAGGCAGGTGCTTATGTTGCTAAGCTATCTCCCAGCTCCATAGAGGTGGATGCTAAATTAGAGAAATTTAGGTTTTCCTCCAAGATCATCCAGTGTACGTATATAGCACTTAACTCTTCAAACTTGCCCCCAACTCTCAAGTTTAATACATCTCAAGTCTAAATCATCTATGGACAATTTCATCTAAATTTAAAAAGACTAAAATGGGGTGCTGGTACCTAGAAATCCAAAAGGTAGAGAATACCAAGGACAGTAACCACCATACTTGACAAAAGTGGCTCTTCATTTGCATTAATAGCAATCACTCTCCTCACTTTAACCATAAAGAACAAATGTATTAATCAGACAAAAATAAAAAATTCAGTGGGGGCCTCTGTGGTTGTCATAATAAAAATTTCCAATGCACACAAACAAAAATATTAATACAGTCCATGAACTTTAGTAAAAAACATCACAGAATCCTACAACTTCCATAACTCTTCTTTGCCTTGGACTAAGCAAATTGTGCTTCAGGTTATACATGGTTTATCTCTAGAAATGAATTCCATGAGCTTTGCGTTATCTTGGTGATCAGATCTGTTTGCAGGGAGCCAGCTTCCTAGGAAACTGTTTTCCACTAAATTAAAAGATGAATATAACTGGAGAGAAAGCAGGACAAGAGGTCAAGAACAAAAGGAATTCCCATACTTCTGCCTTGAGAGGTGGAGCCAGAAGGTACTATTGTCCCAAACCCACTACAGCAATCAAGTAAGGGTAGTAAGTGTGGGCTAGAGGTCAGACTTCCTCTTGGTTAAAACATGTATTTCTGTAGGAAGAAGTTTAAGACTGCGCCATGTTAACTCTCTAAGTTTCACCCTAATAACACCCAGGAACACCCATATTTCCATGTCCTCTTTCAAAAACATGAAAAGAGAAGAGAGTTTTACTGCCTTTTAAAACCTTATATTACCGTCTTCCTTATAACCATAAAAGCTACATTATTTCTTGGCCTTACTAGTCCTATGTAGTCTATATTACTTTGAGAGTAAGGAAATAGTTACTTTGAGAGCAAAGTAACTTGGGCAATTTAGCCACAGACTA